TCAAGAGCTAGGCTCATTTAAAATTTTAGATCTTAGGAAATGTAAATTGTGCATGCAACCACTGTTTAAGTTGCCTTTAGATGCACAAATAAAATTAAAAATAGAGTTAAACAATTAAGGAGGGTTGTCTTCTTTTCAGTCTTCCACTGAATTCACATAACTTCTATTTATGCGAATCGGAGTTAAGCACCTGCTCCGCAAAGTAAATAGACCCCCTATCTGTGAAAATAAACGTGTACGGTATATTTTCTGGATACAATACTGAAACCAAACCACCAACAAATATGTGTGATATAAACAAAGCATCATGTGGCGTACCTCAAAATACTGATGTTATACATTTAACTTCCTTAGTCATAGACCCTGAGGTATTACTCATGCCTTTGTCATGTAAATGTAACAAACGATGTTTGAGGAGGGGTTAGATGGACAGACTCAATCTGGTGATTTCGATGAGCTCATACACAATCCTCTGTTTACCCCTTCAGAAGTTCATAATAAATTGCATAAGTAAATCTGGATTCAAGCCACTGCTCTCTGCCATCATCTTAAAAGTCATGGAGGATAATTGTACATAATAGAGGAGGGCATGATCGTGGGGGCACTGTGCTGGGACTCCCTGCAGCAGCTGCAACCTCAGCTGGGAGAGGAGATGAGACAGACGATGGTTAATGACTGGTGACACCAAGTCTCTTTCGGCACTGCCCTTCTTGCACAATGCTGGGTCTCACTGGAGAGCATGTTTACCTGGACTTGAATGAGGATGTCTCCATTGGTCACAGAAGTTTCTTAACAGGGTGCTCTGGAGAGCAGGGTGGATGAAGAAAGGCTGTCCTTCTCATTTGAACTATAGAAAGCATCACTGGGATCTCGCCCCAGACTCTATTTTGAGCTAAAATTACAAAGGGATCAAAGCAGGGTCATGGGCAGGGGAATGAGAGTGTTTATGGGCCTCATGATGTTCATAATGTAGAGTAACGTCTATTCTCAATCGACAAATTTAAACAGTTTTAAGAAACAGGTAATGGATCATAAATACAGTTAACCACATTTCTAAAGATTTCACTTTCTTCCTAATGATCTAGGTCAAAAGGCCAAAAATGCTTATTTCTGATTTGCATCATGAGTTGTAAGCAGTACTGCTGTAAACAGGATAGTTACATAATTTTTGGGGCCCAGTGCAAAGTGAAAATTGGGCATCTTGTTGAAAATGCCTTAGTAACTGCAAAACAATGCCAGCAGTGCATTTAGCCAAGCTTCAAGCTTCTCTAAACACAGGGCATGAGAAGATTACACATTACATAACCATGAAGCTAGCCTTGATCTTGGACTAGGATTGCCAGAAGATAACCTGCTGTTCCCTCCTTCATCTTTAGCCTTACTGAAGTCTTAAATTAAACTAGCCATGGCAGAATGAGCATGAGAGCTTCCCAGAGTGGACTTAAAGAAAATGGATCAATTAAATGTGCTCTAAAAATGGTCAGACACTTTCTTTGATAAAATCTATTTATGAATGTGTTTCATCTTCTTTCTTTGAATGTTCAACAACAACAACAACAACAACAACAATAACAAAAGTTTCCACCCAAAGGCAAACATAATCTAGTGAGGAGCTCTCTTTTATGTTTACATTTCATTTAAAAAAGTAGTTGTGTGTGTGTGTGTGGGGGGGGGGGGGGTTGGGGACACACCTGGTGGTGCTTAGGGCCTACTTCTATCTCTGTGCTTGGGGGTAACTCCTGGTGGTGCTCAGGGGACCATCAATACCAGGCATCAAATCCAGGCTTTTGGCATGCAAAGCTTACACTCAGCCCTTGGAGCTCTTTCTCTGGCCCAGGGGTTCAGTTTTAATGGGGACCAGAGGACCAATTGTGAATACAGATAATGGTAGTACAGTCTACTTAGAAATCTGATCCTCAATGCCATATTTTTATAGCCTTCCTCTATATTTTTTTCATTTTGAAATCTTTTCCTGCTTAAACCTCTTCCCTCTTGTTAGCCATACAGCAACTTAGATTTGACCTTAAATTCTACATGGGCCAGGAGCTATGAAGGTATTTTTTTCTGGCTTTATGCAAGTTTAGGTGATCTGAAATTGGCACTGAGTAGATTTATGGCTCTCTTCAAAGTACTGTTACACTCCAGCAACTCTAGGCCAGTGAATGAGGTAGTGGTGATTATAATAATGGTGACATTTGTCCACGGAGTGATCCTTTGTCTCTTAGAAGTAGACTTCAGCTAAGCCTAGTGATAGGAAAGCCTCTTTTCTTTTAGTATGTGGAACCACTACAAGGCTGTGGTCTTCTGAGAATATGGTATAGAGGTGATAAAAGAGAAAGACCACCTCCTCCTCTGGTGGTTCCCCAGAAACAAAAGCAAGTAAATTTATAAAACCTTCCCAAAAATACTTAGGAAAAATAAAACTACTTAAGTCAAAATTGTCTTGCTTATTCTGATTTTTTCTGAACTATACAGTTTGTTTTGTATATAACCAAACAACACATGAAAAATTTTTTTCAAAGGTATAAGCCTATTCTGATTTTTTGGTCATTCTGTGAAGGGCTCAAAGATTATCATTTTTTTTCCTGGTCGTAAAATTTGTAGGGATAAACAACCCTACAAATTGTTTGGCCTATTATGTGTCACAGAGATTTTTCTATAGCCTGTCTAGACTCCAGACAATAGGCGAGACTGGCCTATAGTTGCAGACATTTCTATAGTCTGTAATATCACTTAGAAAAGTAAGGGCAATAATACAAAAATGAAAACCAGCCTGACCTGCCAGCACGATGGTGGAAATATGAGTATAACAACACTTTACAATTTAGAAATGATGATAGCAACCTAAAAGAAGTTTCAGCAGTCACATATCAGCTAAGAGCAACTTTTGCAAAATCATACATACTCCCATAAGTGAGTCACATTCAAGTAATTCCGTCTATAGACAATAAAGTTACTTCACTTCAGAAAATTCTGTATTATATATTTTGGTGTGTATTTTTATTGCATAGAGATGTGGTGTGTGTGTGTGTGTGCGCGTGTGTGTGCACTGCATATATTTTGGTCAGTATACAGACTATTCAAAAGATCTTTCTTTAAATAAATCAGGATGTTAAACTATTTTACTTTCCAGATCACTTGGGTAAAACGATTAATGCTTCATATGGTCTTAAGAGAAGTCAGGGGCATTATATGTAAATAAGAAGGTGGAGAACAGAGTTCAAATTCATCTATTTTTCTTAAATTTGTTTCTGAGCCTATCTTCATGAATATTATTTTCTCCCATAATTACATTTGCTATAAGCAGGAGAGAAAGAGGAAGAGAGAAGAAATAAAAGCTTGTTTATTTTTCTTTATATTAGTCTTATTTGCTATCTTTTTTGTTTCAGGAAATGAACCAATAAGGAGTATGTTTTGGTTGTTGTTTAGTTATATTTTCATGAAAACTATAAAGATGCTTTGAATACCAGTAATATATACTAAAGATAATATTACTGTAAAACTACTGATATTATTTTAAATCCAAAGAGTATTCTTTTTTACCAAAGATTCCATACTATATCAGTAGTTACCAGACCATTTGCGTCTTCACTGTTGAGGATATTAACAGAGGTTTTGTTGCCATTTAAATGGTTCTGCTTGTGGAATCAGGGAGTGTCTAGAGAAATAGATAAAAATGTAGTATTGCAAACCATGATACCCGTAAGTAGAGAGAGAGTAAGAGGGAAATTGTCTGCCATAGAAGCAGGGGGAGGGTTGGGATTGGGGTCTAGGGGGAGGGATACTGGGGACATTGGTGGTTGAAAATGCACACTGGTGGAGGGATGGGTGTTCGATCACTGTATGAAACTTGAACAAGAAAGTTTTGTAACTGTAGCTCACGATGATTCAATAAAAATTTTTTTTAAATGTAGTAAAACCAAAGAATTCTTCAAGTTGTTTTATTAAGCACTGTTCATCCCAAAATAGACAATCCCATCTCTAAAGTCATTCTGTTTCTATCTCTGGATGAATTAGAAAAAAAAAACTAAAACTAGAACACCACAACCATCTTGTTTGTTTCAATGCAATCAGTCCTATCAGAGAGCAATATATATTACCAAAGGTTTTATTGTAGAACCACTGAATATACAGGACATGGACAAAATTGTGATGAAATCTGTCTTTGTATGAACAACTAAGCCCACTCATGAGGTACTCAGAGAGTACTTCCTAAACTTTTGTAAAGTGTGGTATATTTTCCATCTGGAATGCAAATATTAGATAAAGTTTATGCCAAAATAATATTACACAATATTTATTTTAGTTTGCTTTAAAGTTCAATATTTTCTTTGTGTTTAGGAAAAATTCTTTAACTTCATGCAACTTAACTGATTGATAGCATAATATTACATACAGGTTATATACAAATTTAAAGAAATTTATCTGAAATTAAAGATACAGTTCTTTCCTTTTATAGGAGCCACAGTACACAAGAATACTTTTATATATCATGTAATGAGATATGCAAGAGAGGTCTACATATTATACCTTTGACTAGAGTGAAAATAGCACAAAATTCCAATTCACCTTGGCCTTTCAAAATGTCTATACTTTAAGTGCATTTTCCTTGAACTTCTGAACCAACCTTCAGTCTTCAATAAACAAAATAATTACAAATTCAGTATCAGCATGATGAATATGGCAAACTTTATCCTTATGATAGGATGGAAAGTTCCATGCTTCCTCAACAGGATGGCTGGGAATTCAACAGTACTCAGAAAGGAACCTGGATCATTAACTAAAGTGTCCTGTGTGTGGATACACATGACCAAATTAGGCCCTAAGGAAGATTCAGCAAACTCCCACAGAAGTCAATGGAAATTTGCTCAAACACTTGATAGGACTCTGGTGGCCCACACGGTCTTGTCAGTAATTTGACTAGGTCTTTAAACAAGATCGATAAGAGAAAAAACAAAACCAAACAAATTACAAAAACCAAACAAACATAAGTTTTGTACCTCTCCAACATCGTAGATCCAAATACGGCCTTCCGAGTCCCCAACAGCCACTTCTTTGCCAGCCTGAGCCCAACGAACACGGTTTAGGGCAGATGCCCCCTCAATGGCCACACTCGCTGTTGGAACCTGCCACCGAGGTTATGAAAGAAACAAAGAATCTCTGAATACAAATTTAAATACATAAATTTAGAATGTACAAAGATAGGTTTTAACTGTGTGAGTCTTCACAGCCTCATGCCTGTGAAATAATATACATCCCCGATGCAGGGGTGAAAAGGATGCATTGTACTAAAATCATATGCTCCACCGAATTAAGGCGTAGACATGAGGACACTTCAACAGAAAAAGGCAAAGCAGAGAAGTCTTTTCCACAGTTGGTGGGCAATGAATGACATAAACATTTCTTCAAATTCTGCAGGGTGTAAGACCAACATATAAAAATAGCAGCAAAATATGGTGTTCATGATCAGATCATGATTTATGGGATGATGGTGAAAGACATTTCGGGATTTATTGAGATTAAGAATATTATAAAAGGCAGGAAGGGAGGACATATGGTAGGAAAAGTTATTTTAATGTGTCTTCAAGGTAAGAAGAAAAAAACACTATATATATATATATATATATATATATATATATATTGATCCCTCAAAACCTTGATTGGGGTGGAGGTGGGGGGTGATTGGAGGAAGACAAGAAAGTATGCAAGTGAACAGCTTTAAAACTTTAAATTCTCTTTCTTTTGTCCTGTCTTTCCCCCCACCCTCTCAGTACAAGATCTAGACAGCAGTCAGTAACTTTGGAACTGTCTCCAGGGTGAAACTCTGATAGAATGTAGCTATCTGCTTGTAGAAAATGTCTCAGATCATCTTTGATGAAATCTAAAAATGTTGGTAATTACTGTAATAACTATTAGAAAAGTAACTACAGGTACTGAAATGAAACCAGCCTACAGTATTAGTTGCCAGAACTGTAGAATTTTGGAAAAGAGAACTGCAGTGAGTGTACCACTCTTCCATCACCGGTTGTGTAAACTCTAAGGTTAGAAGTTTATAACAGAAAAATCAAATCTCCTAAGTAGGTTTCTGTAAGAAGAGTGAATAGAAAATGGCGGTATAGCATTAAAAACAGAAAAAAGATCAATGTGAAAACAAACAAGAAAAAAAAAGCCTAAATAAATAAGTATATAGTGAAGGGAAGGCTACTGAGCTCACATCATGCCCTTAAGACCTTTATCTAATAAATATGTCATATTTGGATAGAAACACTACATGTGCTGTGCCTTAGCACCTCGGGCATACTGTTATACAGGGAATTGAAACCATCTGTTTATATCAGATTATTGACACAATACCTATCTTTAAAATAGCAATAAAAACTTCATCATATGTAAAAATCTATGTTTAAACAAAATCTTGAAAATAAAATTCTTATATTTGCTTTAATCATTACATATTAGCTATGAGCAAAAAAGTAAAAAAAAAAAAGCTCCCTGCTACGTTATTATTATTTTTTTTTTAAAAAAAGAATTACACAAGTTCTGCAATAAAGTTGCCAACCGTTGAAGGTTGGAGCCTGAAATTTTATCTAAATTTTTCAGAGGCCAAAACAATATAAATTTAAATGGATCATAAGTCTGTCAATACACTTTATTATTAGTGTGCTTTTCAGAATATAAATATGAAATTCAGAGACAGAGTTTGTAGAATTTATTTCAACTCCATAATTTAGAGAGGCCACACTGGATCATACTTTGTCTAATTCCACTTTACATTAGATTTTACCATTGAGCTGTGTCAAAAATTGAAAAAATATTTGACTATGTTAAAAAGTATAATTCAAGAGAAATTGAGTTTGGGGACATTTAAGAGAAATTATAAAGTAGGTAATATAGAAAAACGTAACAATTTCTATTTTAGTCATTTTAAAGTAGTTTCTTCAAGATATTATAAAGGTAAAAAAAAACACAACTGGCCTGTCTATAGTTATGGTACTAAACAAACTTATAAGGTTCATGAAGGAAATAAAAAATGTTTTTTTTTAGTTTGACTAGTAATGGTCTTTCAAAAGTTAATGAACTTGTAGTAAAAATAATTCCAAGTCTGTTCTTTTTTTTGTTTTAACTCTTGTACTTTGGTTTCAAAACTTTTTACATTTCTAAACAGTTCAGTCATTTTAATTGCAAAGATAAACTAAATACAGCATAGATTACCTCGTGCAAAGGCCAGTAATCCTGAGATGGTATGAACTACCCTCGCATAGGAGCAGCTGGTATAACTTGGTATAAGAGCACAATAATTTGAACAACGAAACACACTGGGATTTCAGGTTCTTTAAAAGAAAAAAACAAATCCAATTCCTAATCTGACAACTATTTGAAAAATCCTGTCCAACTTGCTAGAAAGAAAAAAAATGATTTGGGGTCTTAGAAAATGTTTAGTTCATTACTGGAATTGAATCAAATTCAACAGAACTATTATTGCAAAAGCAGAATTATATTTACCTCAAAACTAAATGGTTTGCATGCCCACTAATGATTTTTTCCATGTTCAGTTATAAAACTTTTATATTGTCCCTTGAAACCCAGAGAAAGAAACACAACAAAAATTGTGTTTGTTTGTGTCAAAAATGTTCATTTTGGTTTACCTGGGAAAATCTGATTGAAAAATAAAGTACACGGATATTATTAAGGAGTCTTTAGAACACGTACTCCTTTGCACTGTGGTTGGTACTACTGAATGTCACCTCTACTAAATCTGATTTCTGTTATGGGTGGTCTGCTAAGTGGATCTGGAACATGTGTGTTTTGTGGTTGCTTAAATTTATGAATTTATTCTAGCAGATAGCAACAGCATGATTTTAATCAACGGTGATGAAAGACTTTGGGAAGCCATTACAATGTCGAGTATGAACATCTTTCTATTAAAAGCAGTAATGTTATAAACATTTCAGCATCTAGAATGATAATCATAGTACATGCTTATTATGCCTTTTGATTATTTTCAAAGATGCTTCATTGCATGGTTCCTATCCTTATCACATAGTTCTTGTAGACAAAAGGAAATAAAGATTTAAATTGAAATCTCAAAAGGTAACTATGTGGCGGTGGCTATAGGTATCTGAAGTCCAGAAACTTGCATAATACAATGACTCAGTAATAAAACCTGAATAATGCTGTCCTGCCCCTTTCTACCAAAAAAAAAAAAAATACCAGGGGACAGTGTTTCTCCTCATCTTCTCCAGCTGTAGTCTTCCTAATTAAAAAGGCTGGAGTATTTCCTCCTCAGAACACTTCAAAAACCCTTTCTCTTGCTCCTTACTTGACATATATTTTGCCACACTTGTTTCCTCTTACTTGTCCATTCTTATTTAAGGAGAGGTGCAGAGTAGAGGTGCAGAACCCAGGAGATGTGAAGAAACGTTTAACTTTGCTACGCTGAAGGACACTTAACATAAAATGAAAAATAAATGCAACAAAACCTTGAATAGCTGAATTGGTTCTTCAACAAAATTTGAAGGTTTAGAAAAGGGAAAATGAGCATAGCTCATTTTTTTTAAATAATTATATACAGTGTTTTAAAAAAGAAATCCTATTGTCCGTTGCTTTTTTCTTAAGGGCATTTTCATAGCTTGAAATACCTTAAATATGACATTCAAATCTATTTTTTAAAAATGTTCAATATATTATTTAGAATTAGAAACTATTGTAAAAGTCTGCCTCTGAGTTTAGTATCTCAGACAAGGAGTATTTAATTTGCAAAAGCAAATGGAAGGTAGATACAAACCTGAGGAAAACCGTCAACAGAATCATCTTTTATGGATTCAAAACAGAAATTCGACAAATAGCAACACAAATGGCCCTTTGAAAAAGTCGAATCTAAAGCCAGCATCCACAAAAGCTTACTTTTCCAAGTGTTTGCGAATAGAGTTATTTCAACACCACTCTGAAATATGCCTGTGTGTCCTTCCCCGTAGGGAGAGGCGTGAACTCGTATCGTTTTGCTCTTTGCAAAGAAAATGGGCCAGGATCTGCCACGGTTTAGAGATGAAATGAGATTAAATGATTTTTGGCCGGTGTATCTGCCAACGCACTTCACAACAGTCAGAAACGGGGGGTGGGAGGTGAGGGTGGGGGTCGCAGCTCTGCTGCAATTAGAGGGTCAGTCCCTCCAAAGTCCGTTTTGGAGAGAGGGGGTGACCGAGGTGGGTCGGCGGCGCCCCCCTCCCAGCCCTCCCAGTTCCAGGCGCCTGCGCCGCCGCTCACCTCGGTGTCATTGTTGAGGTTCCAGAGGTCCAAGCGCCCCATCCCGTCCACGCAGGCAAAGAGCGCGGGATGCACGGGGGACCACATGACATCGTACACATAGTCTGCATTGTCTTCAAAGGAGTAGAGCGGCTTGTTGTGCTGTAAAGCAGAGAGACCGTGAAGACTTTGTGGCGCTGCTGCTGCCTCGGGCTGTCTAGTGAACCTAATTAAAAACTTTGCACATTCACAAAGTGTCATAAAACTTCCCGAGATGAAAGTCCTGGAGAAGTGAACCGCAGCTTTAATGTGACTCGAACTGTCCAGTGGCATAAATAAATACCGCGGATGGGGGTGGGGGACTGTGAAGGGGCTGGGGGCTGTGACGGGCTGGGGGAGGCGGTCAGACACGGTGGGACGAGACATTCCAGACAGGTGGACCCGACTGCCCATTAACTCGGCTTACTCGCCCGGTAAGGCTCTGCGAGGCGCTCGGAGCCCAAACCCAATTGTGGCCGGCGGGGATCACACACGCCGGGATGCTCTGGGTAGCCCGGGCTGTCTTGGCCCGGGACCTTCTGCATTGAAGGCAACGCCTGCCACCTTGTGGTCATTGTCTGTAGTTGCAACGGCTGCAGCGTCCTCCCGTCCAACTAACTCTAGGCCAAATTCCTACTTTGAAAGGTTCGATTGCGCCGTGTGAATGAGGACAGAATATTATAAAAGGGTTTGTAGCTCTTCTGGGAGGTGACAAACCTCGAGACTCTTACATTCTCTTTCTCACCTAGGGTACGTTTTCCTAAGTAATTGCACCAATGAACTCATTTAATAACCTCGGGATCTTCATAGGTGATGGAACCTCATTTTTTGGATAATCCAGTAGTTGCAGAAAAGCTCTGAAATCGGTGTTTTGGTGGGCGAATGCCTTCGCACACCCCCACTGCATACAAATGCTTCCACTCCGGAGGGATACAATAAATTAAAATGGCACTCTTGATTCCAGTGAATATTGTCACATCAAAATAGCACAGAAGTCAGAGGCAAGTTTGAAAGTACACCAGAAATAAAACGTAATTGGACTTCATGAATTATTCATTCCATCTGGCTTGTCTTATTCTAATTTCTGCATAATGGCTTTACTAATCCCTGATCAATTAATGTAAAATGAAATTTAAATGATAATGAAAGCCCTAGAGATAAAAGAAATTAAGTATTCTTATATCCTCTGACAGAAATCTAAACAATGGGAGTTTTTTTCCCCAATGTCTTCTTCATCCAGTCAGCTGTCTGTACTCTCTTCATTGGTTCCACTAAATGCCTGTACAGGCCAAAGTAATAAGATCAAAAAAGGATAACATACAATATGAACCATCAAAATCCTTCTCCATAGAATGTTCAAAGAATGAATTTAGGGGGAATCAGCTCCAAATATTAGATCAGATCCCAAACTGGACTACTGGTTATGTGAAATACATTTGCTGAAGTCAAACTAAGAAAAATCTGTGAGAAGACAATAAAATTTCCATAAGCTAAAGCTTATGCGAAATTTTGTTACAGTGATAACTGTAAGATTTCTCTTTCCAGGAATTATATTGTTTTGGTATCGTCTGGAAGTGCACACAATTGCAAAACTACAATACAATAGATTTCAGATGGACATTTTGTGTTTGTATGTCTAGTTTATATATATGTGTGTGTGTATGTGTGTGCTTATGCTTTTGTGTGACTTAAGTATTTTTTAATTGAAAAGTATGTAATAGAGGAGGAATTGAACAAGGAGGTATGCACTGAGATTTCAGATAGAGATAAGTGGACATTTGTCTTATAGTTTCCTATTCTAATATACTTTAACTATTTTGTACCCAAACGCTTATTGTATGGCATGCTTGCATTGTGATTTGGAACTACAATTATTTGCTATATTTTCTTTGTTAAAAGGTGTTTTTTTTCTTCCCGTCATAATTTAGAGGTGATTTAAACTTCCTTTGCCAGAAAATCTGACCATGCAGTGATCTTAAACTAACATGACTTATTTATAACTTTTCTGTTCAACTATTTTAAAAACCGTAGTATGGGGTAACTCACTTTCATTGACCACTTGTAAATATTACACTAAATTAAATTAGTAAATTCTAACTTGGTATCATCTCAGTGTTTCTATGTATATAGACATACATACACACATATGTACATATAGAGAGGCACAATCAACAAATAACTCATCTACTTTCTTTGTTTTGATCAATTAGAAAACCATTCTACCATAGTCATTTCTTTTCAAAAGCTCATATTTTTGGATATGTTAATTGTATAGAGAATTTTTGTTTTGTCTTTTTTTTTTTTACTCTTTTAGTAGCTTCTTCTCTGAGAACTTAGTTAAAATCATAGTATCCCTGGAGATTTCAATTTTTAACATCTGGAAATAACTGCTATTATTCATGTCACCAAAAATCAGTTTTATAGTATTGTGTTGAAATGTTGTTAGTCTTTAGATTTTTCTCAAGTCTGTTATCATCTTCCACTCCCAAGAGTGAACTTCCTGTTACTGTGTAAGCAAGTCTAAGCTATGGTCAATGTAATGTTTGGATAAAGGAGGACTTATATTTTCAAAGATGTGTTTTAATATTAATAAATCCTTAACTTGTGAAACTCTTGGTCAGGGGTATTATACCTCTTTACAGGGTATGGAGTTGGCTAACATCTGTGAGCCAATAGTGAGCAAGTTTAGCACACGGTATGCTAAGACACAGGTTAGGGCCACTCTACAGTGTTAAGGAGTGCCACCCTGCACATCAATTCAATACTTTCAATAATAGGGATCTTATAACACTGTTTTATTTATTGTTTAAAGCATAATTTAAAAACCTCATTAAGAACTGCTACAAATGCTTAGTCTAGAAGGAAGGTCTGATGTTAAGTACACACATATATAATGAAATACTAAAATTTATCAGCCTCAGGGACTAAGTATTCTGCTTTTAAATTCTGAAGCAGAAGTGTGTGGCTTGACAATCCAGCTTTCTATATTGCATTTTCACCAGTTATAGAATGTTACAGCTTTTGCAAAAGTAGAGAGTGGGGCAGGGGGGAATTTTGACCAGTGATTTTGAGAAAGTTCCTCTGGCCTTTGTATACATTGCAGTGACTGAAGCTTGGTGAATTGAAATAATTATTTTATAAAATATTCGAGGTTATTTTGAAAATGAAATATTCTACTGCATGGTATTCTAGAAAGTGTCTTCAAAGCAACCAGATTTTAGTATAACCCCCCAGCTCCCTAACCCCCATCCTCCCCTCCCCCCCCCACACTTCACCTCCGTGTTTCCTGTTTGTTTTGGTTTGATTTTTTGAATCTTTTTGTTTGTTTTGGGGCCACACCCATTTCAGTGTCTCAACTCAGTGGTGCTCAGAACATAGGACACAGACTCTTGCCCACTCAGCCTGAGCACCAGCCCTCAAGGCCCTTTTACCAGTTGTCTGTGTTCGTTTTTTTTTTATTTTGAATAAACAAAGTTTAAAAAAAAAGGGGGGAAACTGCATGTTACATAACCTACTGTGTGTGTGACACATGCCAGTGAAATGAAGCCAGGATACCGTGTATTTTAGTCAAGTTTCCAGGGCTGTGCCAAAAATGCTAAACTATCCAGACATAGATCAGCTTGATTGTAAGGCCCTGCTCTCACATAGAAGGGAGAAGCCGGCTCCTCTCCCCTCCCAGACAGACATGAAGGGCAGAGAAGGGTAAATTGTGGGGTGTTTGCTCTGTGCCTGAGTCTATACACACATTGTCTAATTTAATCCGCATAAAATCTCTGTAAGGTAGACGGTATTTATAAAAAAGAAAATTATAGTTCAGGAACGTTAGTAACTTTCCCAAGGCCATGAAGGTTGTAAGGGGTAGCGTTGGATTAGGCACCCTGGGCTTTCTAGCTGTTAAACAAGTCTCCTGTTTGCTGGAACTATGCAGTCTTCTGTAAAAGACAGCAATAGACAATGGTCTTCAGTCTCCAGAGAGAATGTAGTGCCCCCAGTTATCTCCTACTCTTTGTGGTCCCATTCAATTCAAACAATATGTAAAGCACACACTATGGAACTTGGAGAAAGAGTTTAACCATTGTCCCAGTCCAAATGTTTCCTTTCCTGAGTCTGTTATGAATAGCCCTGAAGATGTTACCTGTACAATTTTGGCCACCTAATGACATTAGCAGAACTATATTTCTCTCCAAAACTAGGAAATAGACTGGAAAAGGCCCTTTATCATCAGAGATGAAGCAGATACTACAGTAGAGAGTAGACGAAAATGATGCACATTTTATTGTTTGTTGTTTTAGATCTAGGTTTCGGTTCACTGGTCACACAATTTTAGCTGAGGGACAGCGATAATCCTATCTGAAAGATGAGACTAACACAGGGTGCATGGACTAGAAATGGCAACAAGAGATTGGAAACTCCATAGGTATTGGGGAGTTTAAAATATCATTCTTGAATATTTCTCTTTTGGCAGATTGAAAGCAGGAACAACTGCCCATAAGGGTTCTTATCAGCTTCATGATTCTCCGTTCAACAGTAAGTATGTGGAAAATTTTTACAAAGAGTTATTCAAAACTCAGTATTATAATTAAAGCCATCTTCTATGGAATCCATTTTACAGTGATTCCTTTCATTTTTCACTTTGTATTTTGTAAAAATGCACATATAAAATAAATCACTTGTGGTTTGTAGTGAAAAATTTGATATTATGAAAGTAATAACAGACCTCCTATTTCACTGATTGAAGAAGGAATAAAAATTTTAAATTTAACTAAGAGAGGCAGGTAGAGTTAAAAAATAAAACTTAACATCATCAGTGTTTTACAATACAGATTTATTCTTTAAACTTGAGCTGTGATTTTATAAATATATTTCTGACAGTAAATAGAGCTGCATATTTTTCCAATCAGTTAGCTTTAAAATGATTTTATGAGATAGGGCCGGAGTGATAGCACAGAGGGCAGGGCGTTTGCCTTGCAGGCAAACCTGGGTTTGATCCCCGGCATCCCATATGGTCCCCCGTGCACCGCCAGGAGTAATTCCTGAGTGCAGAACTAGGAATAACCCCTGAGCATTGCCGGGTGTGACCCAAAAAAACTAACTAAATAAAATGATGTTATGAGAGATGGGCT